ATGATTTGCTACAATAATAAAAAGCATACATTACATATAAAAAGATACCAGTGTACTAAAAGTGACAGAAGTGAACTAGCAAATCCTTCAAAGCACATATTATATCAATGACTAGCATTTAAAAACATTTCCTGCTATAAAATGTAGGTCATTTACATTTATAAATCTGCGATTCCCCTCCCCCCCCGCTGAAACAAGTTTTCAAATAATTCTGCTATTCAACTCTGTACAGCTTGAAACCACAGTTCAAACTTAGTTTCCGTTTGACTTTTTGATTTCTTTCGCTTGAATTAAATAAAGCTCATCAGCTGATAATTCCTATAGCAAAAAGTAATTTTATAAAAATAAACCATGACTCAATGCTCAACTGCAGTGTACAATATGAACGGAGCTATTTTCTTATATTGCACAAATCTGATTTTATAGAGATGCATATTCGTATTTTCAATCGGTAACAGAAATGGTGTGGGAGAAAAGTCTTATTCTTCCTTCCAGGACACCGACATTGGCCATCTTCATCGTCTTACAGAAGTGCAATTGAGCCATTAGTTTCATAATGAATGTGTGTGGCAGGTGCAATACAGATCTAAAACTCTGTTCTTCCTGCAACTCCGATTGTGCTGTGTAAACAACATTATGCTTCAAACAGAAAAAAATGTCGGATTTATTGATTAAAAACATTAACTTAAACAAAACTATTGAATTCCCCCAAACAGTTTTTGGAACTATCCTTATGCTACTTGTACAGTTAGCATGGTTAGGCATTATTGCTTACATACAGTACATCATATGCCTCCTGATATAAAGCAGTTCTATGATCTGTTTATATACAAGGTTCTTTTTTTTCCTTTTTAGTTTAAAAACAAGCTGTAAAAACATTACATACTTTACAGACAATACAAATTCCCACATTGGTACTCAAGTCTAACAAATGGAATGCATAACATTAATAAAACGTCATAAAGGAAGACTGACAGTAAGTCCTTGATTGTCAAGACACATTTATATTTTATATATAAACTCTTAACTGTGCAGAATCAAAAGATTCAATCATAGGTACATCCTTATTTAATAACTCATATTTACAGAACAATATTGCATAAAAAAATAAAATAAACATTTACATATTTCTATTTTTCCATGTACTGGGGTAAAGAATGCAAGAAACAACTCTGAGAAAATTGCTTGTTTCAATTTGTGTCTACTACCAAAAGAACTCTCTCTCTCTCTCTCTCTCTCTCTTTTAATTATTATTGAAAAGAAAAAACAATGATTTCTATGTGTATAGCAAAATCAATTAGAAAATTTCCCTGAAACAAATTAATTGAAAAATAATGGAAGCTAAATTTAACGCAATGTTGTTTTTCATTCACTGTAATACTTCTTCAGGACATCCTCCTTGCACGCAAAAAGAATAGTTAAAAGTCCTGCATACCTAAAAAAAACATGCATTAACAGAAAATAAAAGCATTTCAAAAAGTTGCAAGGCTTCTGTTTGAGCAGAATTTAAGAAAATATAAACATCGTTTTTATTAATAATTTTATCAATTGGAAATATTACATATGAGGTTTTACCAAATGAAATACCCAGATCACAAACACATTTCTGTTTTCTAAATTTCTGAACTATATTCTAATATCTATATCTCCCTGCAACTTGAGTAAGAATTTCTACCCGACAAAATTTTAGGTTGCAAATTTACAAATACAAAGCAAGTTAATACTGAAATATTCAAGCAGGCTGATCTTGGATCCATTCTGGATCTTCTTCAAATATTCATGAAACATATTACACACATCATTAAAAATAATCTGAGCAAATATGGAACATATGTTGTATGTATCCAAGTGGAGCTATTTCTGAAGATAATCCCAAAACTATGGAAATAAAATCCAAAAGCTATCATTAAAACGTATTAATTCACACTATTGATTTGAATCCCCCTTTAAAATCACAAAATAAATAAGGAAAAAAAGCAAGCATATGACATTATAATGTATTTCATTCATTTTGACCAGTCTCTTAATTTGCAGCACTTACACAAATGCTCTGCAATATGCTTGTAAAAGTTACAGTCATAGATTTATCTCTACTACATGACTTTACACCACTCAAGAGAAACAAGGGAAAACCCAGCTTGGGAATTATCAGATATTCCACAGAAATCACAAAAACATTTTAGGTTTCAACAAATCGCTTGTTCTCTCGAAATATTGTGGCAACCTGCTTTACCTCGGAATCTATATTAAAAGTTTTAGACCAATTTCAGAAAAAGCAAGAAAGGTGATCTCACATAAATGAAAAACAAATCATTCTAACTGTTCTTCAAACATGTAGTGCACTGCAGTTCATCCTGTTGTTTCTCTTTAAATAAATCATTCTTGGTAAATTATATAGCCTGAGTCATTGTGCCCCCCACCCCCAAAAATGATAAGGGAGCTATTTCAGCTCTAAATCAAAAGCCAATTCCTTCATTTACAATTTTTTTGAAGACTTTGAGATCCAGCATGTATCCAAATATGAACTATTGAAGGCTGAGATAATAAGATTTTTTTTTTTAAATTAAGCAGTATATTTCTGTTTAAAGATGACACCAAAGGATAGTCAACCGAACTGTAAATATACAGGATTTTAGGACCTTAGCTAAAATGTCCTAAATAAAATGTAATAAAACTTTATTCTAGCAAAATATAGTTTTATTAGCACTATCTCACAATGTACTGTGTGCATCAGATAGACCTGTAAAATTGCCTAATCCTAGTTAATTTAGAAAGCTACTTTTAGGTAAAAAGTAATTTGGGTTCGTACATGATTTTTATGGACAGGATCACAAACACCAATACTAATGCTTCTACTCATACATGAGGTGTTTCATGTATACTCCATCTATGCCACTTTGGGCTTAAACATTTCTTGCTAAAGCACCCCTTCTCCAATTAGTAAATGCTGCAGATTTAATGATGCTATGGAGTAACTTCCTTCAATGCATCTCAAGAAGCCGTCATAATCAAGCATTCTGGTATTTGTAGCCATGCACACAAAGCATTTTGGATGTCTGCTATAGTTCATTCTGCCTTCCTTTACTGTATTCATTTTTTAATGTTAGGTATGTTCATAGGAAATAAACACCTACATTTTCTCCACACACCTTGGGTTCCTCTTGGCTATCCGCAAATGGCTGCAAACTTTCCTAGCTTTTTATTCCAGCTACTGAATATGTCTACACTGTTTTATTTGCCAATCTTGCTTACCTTACTGAAACATAATCTATTGTTAACTAAATAAATAGGGGAACACTGAGATATCGTGCTGGAAATGCTTAGTTAAAATTAACACGCTATTGAGGCACAGATACAACTAGCAAAAGGAAAAATAAAAGATTAATTCTTTAGACGTATTTGTGTATAACTGCATCATTAGGATTATTTAATTGGGTATTTAAATTTGTAGGCATTGTGTAGAGGAAAATGGGATGCAACGGCCTAACTGTGATGGAAAGGAATGCACAATGAATGTTGAGACTATGAATCTACGAAGATTCACAAGTAGATTTAAAGAGATTATTTTGCCATCCAGAACTCTTAAGTTCTACTGAAGAAATAGAGGAGGAAAACTGCCAATGGGATAGGAAGCTATGTTTAATTAAAAGTCACAATTACTCTGGATTTTTTTTCTTAACCAAATTTTGAAAGAACTCTGGTTTCTTAGGTTTTGTGAGAGACAATAGCAAGGAATATATCTTAAAATGATATGTGCATCCTTCTTCCCAATCTGAATTATTTTTATTTGAGAAAGAGAAGCACATTCCTAACACTCAGCCTTTCGGTAATACTACTTAAAGTTTTCCATTAATGGATACATAGAATAGAATTATATGGAAAGAATAAAATATTTATTCTATTACAGACTGAAATAAAAATCATTTTTCAGTTTTAAAAACGTTTACGTTATCCCAACATTTATGTTAAGTAAAACCATGCCATTTTTAAAAAGTGTATATAGAATGATTGCAGCACACTGTTTAGCTCAGAACAATTTTATAGGGAAAATGGGAAAGGGATAAAATTTACACTTTATTGTGTATGAAATATATTAAAATAGGGACTGTATAGCTTTCTATCACTAACACTGTTCACCAGCTCTGGCTGGCAAAACTGTAGTGAAATTGCTCATTCAGGTTAAGAGATGCAGTAAGAATAACTGCTTTAGAGAAAGTTTACAGTATCTAACAAGCTGAAGTGCCAAGTGTTTCTGGGTAAGCAAAACATTTTGTGGATGTTAAGGCATCCCCTTCATTTTCATTGCTATTTTTTTTAAAAATCCTACGATGTAAGGTGAAAATAATGCTGGATAATGAGCCTAAATGTCAAAAATACTTTAATTTTTTTTTTAAAGGAGAAATATGAGGAAGGATCTAAGTGCTCTAATGTTAATTATTGCAAATTTGTAGGATGAAATAGTTAAATTTTAAATCCTGGAGTTTTATCTTTTATATATTAACATTACAGAACTGGGAACACAGACTGCAAAGCGTTTAGCTAAAATCTAACCATCTGATTAACTGTCATCACTGGTAAAAATTAATTAAAATTTAAATGCATGAATAATAGGGACTTAGCTTTTAAATAACTTTTAATTAATCAAACATTTAAATAGGAAAATGTGTCTAGCAAACATCATTATTTTCATTAAAGTGTATTAAAGGAAACCAATAAAAGAGTTATTATGTGGATTTAACAGAGTTTTTTTAAAAATAAGTTCCCCCCCCCCAATGCTTTGTAGCTTCTAGCTACAATCTCCTGACATTTAAAGTTTTGGATTTGTACAGCTTATTCATATTCCCTGATGAAGTGCAATAACTAGAGTAATTGGGAAATGCAATATGAATAATTTCATAATGATCATTTTCTCCCAAATAATCAAAGTTACCAAACTAGGAAATTATTATAGGAGAGATATCTTAACTGGATTTTTTTTTTTTTTGGTTTGCTTCATTTTTTTTTAATCAATCTCAACACAGCAAATTCCTGATCTCAAAAAAGGAAACAGCCACCTGCCTTTTCAGTGGACGCCCACTTATAAGGCAATTAAAAAAAAATGACAATTAATTAAAAAAAAGTAATCATTAATATGCTGTACCAGCTTACTTTTTCATTATAACACAAGGCCTTAAATCTGTATAGGAGCCATCTTATACAGAAGACACTCATTCTCAACAGACCTGTGGTAAAGTGCCAATGTTATTTCTACAGATTTTCTTAGCCAAATGTTTGGCCTGTGGTCGCATCAGGTGATGAGTTCATCCCTGCCCGAGCATCATTTACATTCACCAAAGGAAATTCTGGGAAATCAGCACTTCCCCCCGGTCCCCGCAGGTTCACTTGTCCATTAGCAGTATTAAACTGAGATGATAAGCCAGCTCGTGTTCCATGATACTGAGCCCTGAATGGTTGCTCAAACGAGCCTATCTGATACGCTTGATGGACAGGCTGTGCCTCTGCCTTCTTCTGAGAGGTCACTTGATCCAAGAAGTCCTGGGTAGAGGATGATGAAGAGTGATTTGGCTCATCACCTGAAAAGGGAAAAGAGTGCTGGGAATCGCCAACAATCAGTCCAAAGTGAGACTTGTCTGGAGTTGTTCTTAGGGGAGAGTTCATTCCCGATCGAAAACTGTTAACAGGTATAGATGCATAGACCTGTTTGTCAATAGCAGAGAATGCTGGTTGCCCTGTAAGAGACTGGTTGTCATTCACAAAATTAAGGCTTGAGTTGTTCAAATAGGCATCATTTTGGCTCGTCCTGTCCAAAGCTTGCTGCAAAAACTTGGAATATTCCTGTAACATACTGGCTTTGTCAGAGGAGGAACCTTGAGAACTTGTTCCAACATTCTCCGCTTGAGTAACCTCTGACACTTCAGAAGAATTTATAGATATGCTGGAAGTCACTTCAGTATCAGCCACATTGAAAGCAATCTCATGCTGGCCATTGGCTTTATGCGAATAATGGTCTAAAAGAGTTTGAAGTACTTCATCTGGAATGACACTTTTGTCATGGCTTCCTTTAATCTCCACATTCAATGCCGATGTATCCAATATTGATGCTGTGCTACCTTCATCGATCACGCTTGCTACAGCAGCCTGGGTGACTGACGGCTGTGAAGCGATAGTGCCAACATTCAAAGCATATTCTCTGCTGTTACTATTAGCCGCTTGGAGATACCGCCTTTTCTTTAAAAACTGCATTGCATCGTCATAGTTTGTACTGCTGTGGACGGGTTTACTGGGACCTTCCTGTAAAGAATCAACCTGGTCAATATCAGCATTGCCTTCAGCCTCCAGTAAGCCTTGTTTATCCACAAGATCGAAGGCATATTTTGAAACCTTGCTGTCTTCATAAGAAGCTAGGGATGAAATGGTCTGACTATGCTCCAGTGGCTGCTTGAGGTTTCTCTTACTGTTAATCTTTTTGAGCACGAGTTTAGGTGGGTGTATTTCTCCAGAATTTGCTTCCTGCAAATGACCTCCAGTGACAGAAGAATGGGGCATCTCAACTGCATATTCCGCCACCATATATTCATCCTTTATTTTAGTACTGCCAGCATACAACGGCAAGAAATCATTCTTATCTTTCCTATGTTCAGATTTGTCTGTCCCAGTTTCTTTATCCATCCCAGAAGATTTCAATTTCTCAGTTTTTTGCCTCTTCTTTTTTGGCAAAGAACAGTCTTTCAAAGATATAGGGAAGCCTTGATCTTCATCAGGAGTCAAAAGGCCAACTTTGGTGGCACTTCTATTGGGTTTCTTGTCACGGTTTTCATGGCACATACGTTTGTGTTTCAGTACACGATCAGTCCTTGAGAAGAACTACAAGGAACATGATTTGGATTAGAGAAGAAAAAAGAACCTTTTGGCCAATTTAGTTTTTGACATGGGAAAGTCTCCATAAGTCATATTGCTAACATGATCATTTAAAAAAATTCCCAGAAAGGCACTACAGACAGAAATTGCTGTGTGAAACCCCACCATGTCAAAAGATACGGCTCAGAATGTATGTTAAAACAATTTTAAGTTATTACAAAATTCATCCTTCTAATTCTGTTCAACAATACTGATTTGTCTCAGCTTCTCTGCTCTCATTTTTTTCTGTAGCTAAAAATATGGTCCCTCAAGGGTTTATGGTTTTCCTTGTTGAATAATCATTCAACCAGATTCAAGTAAAGGTTTTGAAAAATTAAATGTACAAATAACGTAACAATAAATGTGCTCCTCTTCTACAAGACACACATTAACATCAACTACTATAATACAGTTTGTCCTTGCTTACCAATGGTAATTGGCACTGGGAACTCTGTCACTAAGCAACACATTCATAAGACTGACATGTGGCCATACAGTTCCATGCAGTTGCAGTGTATCTCGTGATTATCATTTGCGACTTCCCAGTGGCTTCCCCAATGATTTTGCTTCTGGAAAGCTGGCAGTGAAGGTCACAGATGTTAATCGCATGACCACAGGATATTGCGATGGCCACAACTACAAGAATCCATTGTAAATACCCCTCGTTCAGCAATGTTAAAAAAATTTAAATTTTCAACAGTCAGTGATTGAATGGATGTTAAATAAGGACTACCTGTACTACCTGTACAAGTTCATCACTTTGCTTATATTTATTTCCTGGATATACAATACTGTGATGAATTACATACAGTCATATTAGTCAAACAGTTCTGACAATTTTCACTGAATCTTTCTTTTGTCCTTCTCTAATTACCTGCAAGCAGTATTCACACTGATAAGGCTTCTCTCCACTATGAGTTCTCTTATGTCTTTCCATGTGATACTTCTGTATGAATCTCATGCCACATTCATCACATCGAAATGGTTTCTCACCTAAGAATAAAATAGAAAGTATTGTTAAATAAACGAGAAATAAGATCTATGTATGTTTCCATATTAACTTGCAGTAATTTTTTATTCTCAAATACAATTAAGATACCACCGCAAAACCTGACACGAAAATGCCATAATATTCAGAACATACAATCTGGAAGAAAACCAGCATTGAATATATTTATTTTCATTCAAGTGTGTCAGAACTAGAAATGTAAAAGAAGTATCAGACACATATTCTTTCCTAAAAAGTTTTTGACACAAAGCGTTATGTGATGGTGGTGGTGTGGTGGTGGGGAATATTTCTTTATCATCTAGCAATTTAAAAATAGTAAACTTTTGTACAAAAAATGTTGCATTTAAGATTTCCTATTATTTTTTCCTCGCTTTTGTAAAGAGATCAAGTAACCATACTAGCTTTGAATACACTGTAGTCATTTGTTAACTAATCAAGTATCCTAATTCTACATTTATTTAGTTAGGCAATATGGAAAGAAAGTAAATTCCTAATTTACACACTCACTTCCTCAGCCTTCCTGGAGAAAATGTATGGTATCTTTAATATCATTTTAGATAAATCAAACTTCTCTCTGAACTTTCTTTAAACTACTCCTGAAGAAAGGAAGTAATTCCATGTCAAATCAAGAAAACATAGTCCTTGAGGGTTGTATGACTATCACAAATTTTCTTGAAAATGTACACAAACATAAAAGCATGAACACTATATCTATAGTTTTTAAACCCTTTTTTTAAATGGCCTTCTGGGATCTAAATTTCAGCCTCTCAAATATATGCTAAAGGTTATCTTTTCCCATAAAACACATCCTTATTTGTTTTGCCTGAAAATGAGACGTACACCATCCACAACAGTTAATGAAGTCTGTTAACTTCAATTCTTTAAATAGTGATAATTGGTCTTCTATATTTTCAAAACTACTGCAACGGATAACCAAACATTTCAGAGAAAAATCAGTTTTTTGCACATTTCTTTTTGATTGTCTGCTATCTGCTTATCAAATCTGATCTCCAATTTTACATTACTCTCTATTTTTCACAAAGATAACAGCTCCCAATGGAATCAAAACTCTTAAGGAAAATAAAAATAAAAATGGAGCAACTGTACTTTTCTTCTAGTTGCAAGTTCTAATCTGATACTGGAAATAACTTTTTGTCTTCAAATTTATATTTTTATATAGGTAGCCCTCGATTTACGACAGTTCATTTCGTGACCGTTTGAAGTTACAACAGCCCGGAAAAAAGTGACTTATCACCGTTTTTCACACATTGCAACATCCCCATACTCATAGGGTCAAAATTCAGATGCTTGGCAACTGACTCATATTTATGACAGCTGCAGTATTCTGGGATCATGTGATTGCCTTTTGTAACCTTCTGACAAGCGAAGTCAATGGGAAAGCCAGTTTCACTTAACAACTGTGTTACTAACTTAACAACTGCACTTAACAATTGTGGCAAGGAAGGCTGTAAAATGGGAAATTTGGGGCTCAATTGAAGTCATAAGTCAAGGACTACCAGCACTGACATTCAGTTTAATTCTGTTTCTAATAACCGAAAGTGTACAATAAGTGTAATATATTCACAATTCAAAATCTTCATTGATAACCTGTCATAAAGCAGAGAAAGAGATTGCTATTCAACCCAAGGCACAAATGACTTATCACAAATGATCCTACTTAACATACTGTGCCAAGACCTAGTTCTCTTGGGCAGAGAAACATGGAAGGAAAGAGAAGAGGATGGCCAGCAGCAAGGTGGATTGACTCAAGTACAATGCTGATGAATACACTATTGAAAGAGTTGAGTCTAAATTGACCAGTTTAGGGACAGATCATCATGGAAAAAAATCTATGCAGTCATTAGGAATGGAAAATGACTTGATGGCACAGAGTCAATCAGAATTCATAGACCAGAAGAAATAAAATATTTGTTTGAGTAGGAAAGCCTGATGACAGCCATTATTTAATTTTAAAAATAGTGAAGAATCCTTTGAAACCAAGATCAAATACATTTTTATAACTTCACTCTTATATTCAACTCAGGGAGAAGGAGAAAACTTTTTGTGGAAAAGATGGTCTATTCCATGGCAGAATTTGGAGGAGAAATCACATTATCTGAAATAAGAAACAGGGGGAAAAAGAGACTTTTATCTAGACTTTTTTTACAAGGCAAATTCTGCCTCATGCAAGTGGGTAAATGCTGTTATGGTGCTTTTTTTTTTAAAACAAATGATCCCTGCAGCATATGGCAGGAACCGGATTATAATCCTAGATAAAAATCTTCTCTGTACATCAGTTATCAAGTTACAAATATCAAAAGTAATCATACCGTAACAAATCTGACATTAACAGTATCTTGGATTTTGAAATGTAGGTTCACTGAAGTGTGTTCTTTGAAATGTCAAACACTTCCTTTTATCATACAGTACAATATGTAGAAACAACTACCTCAAAGTGTTTATATTGATGCACTGCAGAACCATAGCATATGTTATGGAATTACCTTTTATGCAAACACCCACATGGCTGACATTGCTACTGTTCTAAATGTCTATAGGTGGCATGCTACAGTGAATAGCATTTGTTCAAACAGTAAAGTATACTACTGTGATTCTACTGCTGATGATTCTGTTGAATATGTGGGACATGGTGAGCAATGTGAAGTTTTGGTGTAAAATCACTTATAAAAATAACATTTATTCATGATAAAAAGTCACAACATAATGCTCCTTTTTTCAGATGGCATAGAATAAGGGCTTTAGAAAACATAGCTGTAAAGATAAATCCAGTAACAAATTAGTAGATGAGTAATGGTGGCAATTTATACTCAGATAACACAATATGCAAAAAAATATTAAACCACTGCTAAAATTCTATATTAACAAAAGACTCATTTCTTACTGATTAGCATTCAGTTTTGGCACTACTGGAGAATTTTGTAGAAAGGTTCTACTCCCTGCACTTTTTAAAACATCCCAGACAAGAGTTTTATTTTGTCACCAGTGAATTATTTAGGAAGCCTAACACCACTTGTCCTGTTATTTTAAAGGACTACTTAATACTACCTTCCCCCCAATGATTATACTTATTTATTTTTCTCTTTTCCATAGGATGTGTTACTTTGGTTTAGCTTAATCCTTTACATTGTAATAAATATTTGGAATTAAAGTAATCCAGTCTCACTGATTTAAAAATAATTGAGAATTTCAGTCCACTTGTGCTGCAACTTTCTCTGGAAAATTCAGTTTTCTAGTCCTAGATCCATACTTGTAACTTTTGCCATACAGGAGCTGCAAGCCAAAAACCAATATGTCCAGACCAAAAACAAACTGTACATATTAATTACATGTACTCGTTGCCATCCCCATTCAGACTCTACTATTATTTTGTGTACATACAATTAAAATTATGTTTCATTAATGTGATTACTCTCTAATTGCATATTTGATCATCCGTTGCTTCTGTTAAGTGAAAAGGTCTGCATTCAAGGTTTACAGGGAACATATGCAGCACTTGAATCTCAGATTGTGTTCTTTTCCTAAACTGTTTTAACCATGGTTTATAGAATGAGTCACATTTGGATGCAGTTATGCGCCATTCAAAGGACTGGGTTGGATTGCAAATTGCCAAGCGATCTCTGCAGTCAGAGGCATAATCAGATTCATACATAAAATTAACATTATAAATATCATAAACCATGGTTTAGAAACCATAAAGGCTGGGTTCACACAAAGATTCAATATGCTATGCGAATCAGGTCACAGTCCATTCAGTATTAGTAATGTAGTCTCATTAATCATAATCTGAAAGTATGAAGTAACACAATATTTATTCTGGTTTGTATACTGTAATCAATCTATTCTGAGATACTTGGGAGTGAGGTTATGTTATTTCCAAATGTGCCAGAGAGCTAGTTGTGTTCTTCCATATTGGACAGAAAACCAAAACTGCCTTGGTTACAGATGCTAGGGAAGGGCAATTTCAAGATGTACCTTGATGGAACCATGTGGATTGGTCAAGGAATTAACATTAGTAATTACAAGGCCAATGAAAAATATGATCAGTCAAAGGCTCTGGCCAAGACGTTGAAAAGAAAATATCATATGTGATAGAAGAAGCCAAAAGAAGGAAAAGAGCAAGTCTTCCCCTCCAAAATCAACCTTAAATTGGGGTAGTGGTAGTCGTATGATGTTACAAAATCTGGACTCAGTGCTGGACACTTTCATGAAAATCTCAAACAGGCAGTAGAACTCAGGACCAAAAAGTTTCAGGAAAACGAAGCATGAAAAACAGGTCTGGAAAGCAATTCAGCTTGGAAATCAGAAGCAAAAGAAAAAGTGGAGAGCAGCTGAAAGCTGCTGAACTGTGTAGGATTTGGTTGATGAAGTTAAAGGAAATGTGCTCTGAGAGACAGGCCACTGAGTGCTTATTATGTGGAAAAGAAAACCATAAACTAAGCAGACAAAATCTAAATACGGCTATAGTATTCCAACTTGGTACTTGGAAAGTATGCAATTTTTAATTAGGCCAGTTTGGTCTAGTGATTAAGGCACCAGACTAGAAGCTGGGAGAGTTCTAGACCCACCTTCGGCATGAAAGCTGGCTTTGGGCCAGTCACTCTTTCTTAGCCCAATTCACTTTACAGGATTGTTGTTATGGAGAAAATAGGAGGAAGGGGGAGTATGGTGTGTTTGCCACCTTGAGTTACTTATAAAAATAATAAGGGTGAGATAAAATCAATAAAAATAAATATTATTTCTTTGCCCAACTAGAGTGATGGATCTCTAACCGTGGGATCAATTCCTTGCCTTTGCCACAGTGCCATATAGGCTACTGAGATTTTGTTAGAGTTACTGTTCATTTTGATGGCAATATTTTTCTTTAATAAAGTCCCACTGACCCAAGCATTCAAAATTTACAACGGAATAATCATACCATATCTAGCTCACCAAAATCTTGTCAATCACTAGATGACAGCAAAGAGATAAAATAAACCCTAACTGTTGACATCTAGCTGTCCCCTGGATTTTTGCAGCCCAGTTCATTTAGCAGCCAATTAAAATGTGCAACTACGACGTACACATTATAATGTAAAGCTTCAGAAGAAATCATCAGTAATTTGACGGTAGCTATGGTTGTGTTCTACATAACTGGGATACAAATTACATGATACCAGCTTGGGAAAGGTTCAAATGAAGTCCTACACAGTGCAAATGTACCCCTTGCCAAAGTCAGTACCTGAACACACAGACTACATATGATCAAGAAGAATTCAGTTATTAAACTGATCTTTCAGATTAAGAAGAGTCCCAATGCACAACTGAGACTTTGTATATAGGGACAGCACTTCAAAATATTCTGGGAACTATACTGCAGGGCAGAGGTCCCAACCCCCTGGCCATGGACCGGTACTGGTCTGTGGCCTGTTAGGAACCGGGCTGCACAGCTGGAGGTGAGCGGTGGGCGAGCGAGCAAAACCAAAACCATCCCCCCTGGTCTGTGGAAGAATTGTCTTCCACAAAAACGGTCCCTGGTGCCAAAAAGGTTGGAGACCACTGCTACAGGGGGGCATATAGGACAGCTGGAGTTTATAAGCTTGAAACTCAGTAAGTTTATTCCTGTTCATCTATGTCAGTGGCTCCCAACCTTTTCTATCCCCAGCACCCCTAGGACACTTCTGATATATTCTCGCACCCCTTACAAAAGTTCGAAATAATGGCAACGAATTATGCATATACACTATAATTTTGAAAACCCAAGTTTTCGCATTCCCTGGAATATGTGAGCAGCTCGGTTGGGAACCCCTGATCTATGTGGTTGAATAATTAGAAAGACTAGATTACTATTTGTACCTCAGCTAAAATTTGGGATCCACTGTGTTTCCCTGAAAATAAGATCCAGTCTCTTTTTTTTTTGCCTCCAAAAGAGGCACCAGTTCTTATTTTCGGGGGGGGGGGTCTTTTCCACTCATCTTGCGGCCCCCACAGCCCCACAACCCCACCCAGTCAGCCCATTTCTTTTGCGACCGAAGGAGCAGCTTCATTCTGTAGCTGAGAATGGAGCTCTGGCCTGCATTTTGCCATCAGAGGCCTCTCCGGAAAGGGCTCTGAACCGAGCTACAGATTGAATCCGTAGCTTGGTACTTGGATGCAGAGGCCTTCCGGAAAGGGCTCTGACTGCGAAATGCAGGCTGGGGGATGCTGTAGAACAGTGGTGGCGAACCTATGGCACGCGTGCCAGAGGCGGCACTCAGAGCGCTCTCTGTGGGCACGCGCGCCATGCCCTGGAGATAGAAACCATCCTCTTCAACTAGCCGCCTGCTAACTCGCTGAGGTCCCACATGGCCGGATGCATCCCAGCACCCATGCAGTCACTGGCCTCTGTGGGGGCTGAGGGTGTCAGGCAGCAGCCACCCCGGCCCCTGCCTCGCCTTGCCCTGTGATAATGGCACTCCTGCCCTGCCTCGCCTTGCCTCACCCCGCTGGACGAGCTTCCTGCCCACCGCCCCACCCAACTGGCCACGGCCACCCAGCGGGCCACGCCCACCCGGCACCCGGCGATACATAAGTGGGTTTTGGGTTGCAGTTTGGGCACTCGGAAGCCTGGTAGGTGGGTGCAGGGCACCTGGGACAGTTCCACCCCCCATGCCGTAGCTTGATTTTTAGGTGTGCGCCTCGCCCCCAAAGTAGGGCTTATTTTGGGGGTAGGTCTTATTTTCGGGAAACATGGTATGTAAACTTGTTAGAGGAAAAAAATGAAACTAGAAAAGTATTTATTTAAAACAATTTAAAAGGCAATACAGGTAATCTTTGACTTACAACCATTCATTTAGTGACTACTTGAAATTACAATTACAAGTCACTGAAAAAAGAGACTTACGACCGTTGCAGCGTCCCTGTGGTCGTGTGATCAAAATCTGGATACTTGGCAACTGGCGTGTATTTATGACAGTTGCAGTGGCCTGGGATTCTTCTGACAAGCAAAGTCAATGGAGCAGCCAGTTTCACTTAACAACTGTGTTACGAACTTAACAACTGCAGTGCTTCACTTAACAACTGTGGCAAGAAAGGTAGTTAAATGGGGCAAAATTCACTTAACTTCCACCTTGCTTAGCAATGGAAATGTGTGGCTGAATTGTGGTTGTAAGTCGAGGGCTACCTGCAGTGAATTTGCTACATATAAAAGGAGAAGCAAAATCTAAACATCTTCAGAAAACACAAGGATTTCTAAATATAAAATACATGTTAATTATGTGCTGAATTTCAGCCCTTGAAATCTAAATTAAATGCAACTAAAATATTGAAGCAGAAGTTCTCACACAGAAGGTTTCAGGTTATACATTCCAGTTTCTCTCTAGTCAAAAACATTTGCAAGGAAGCACTAGAAAAGAATGTAGAGAACTTTTGCTACATGGTTTACGGATTAATAATCTTATCTGCTATTATATACAGTACTTCTATGGCCCTAATATGGCTATGGCAATTATACAAATAGCATACTTCGGGATTTTAGTGTTTGTTTGTTTATTTATTTGTTTAAAAAGCAGCTGTTGGTGACTTTAAGCAGGAACACAGGAAAGAAAAACGGGCAGCAATGTTCCCAATCTATCTTCCCCCCATTTAAATGGACTGAAAGGTGGGTACTGATCACCAGCTTTTTCCTCTTTTACAAGAAAAGTAACAGTGTCAGGATTCTATTTTGGGAGGAAAAATGATCAGCAGGGAAAAGGAAAATGTCACTTCTTTCTTCGTTTCTGATTGACCCTTCCTATGGCTAATTTTTATTATCATTCTGTGTAGCACTTTGGATTCTGCTTCCAAATGATGCACTGGAATGCATGAAGGCATGAATGGTGCTACTGTCTCACTACCAGCGCAGCTGCAAAATCCCAGGAAAAGGTGGCTCTATTTTAGTATATTTGCTTTCCCGCACATTCTGAAACACGTTTTGGAAATCAAGTCCAAAGCTATACACAGCTCAGCTATTATTTATCTTAGAGGATAAACATTGCAAGTTTCAAAAATGCCATGTACCAATATAGACTAATGCAATGGAATTGCAGGTTTATTAAAGCATGTTTGTAATCCTTAGCTGTCTTTCCCAATAATAACTGCCCTGTCACAAACAGATTACAAATCCTTTGTACCTGAATCCTACTCCTTTCCTGTCATCATCTCTTCCAAGTAACATATTGTTTTCTTGTTTGGCCTCACATCTTCATAAATTAGAAAAGTGTATATTCTAATAAATTGCACAAATTAAGCTGGTTTATGCATATTTAAAAATAATCTGAATAATTAATCTGAGCGAAGCTAAGGTATTTTTTACAAGTGACATCTAGAATACATTTAGGCAATCTTTCGTCTTTGTAAATGTTGGGAAACCTTTGGAGGAGAAGTATTTTTTTATGTTAAACATGCTGTACATGCTAATCATTTCAATTCACTGTGTGGAATGCTCACATATCCCTAAGGTAGAAAATTAGTTTTTGAAAAATAAATTATATGTTTACATACTTATACTAAATTGTTTAACTAAGTAGATAACAACAATATTGAAGAACAGCAGTAGAAGATAGCCAGGAAAAAAAAGATAAAAATTAAGCATAGCTTGGAAAAAAACAGAGGAGTCAAGATGTCAAACCACAAATCCAAATACTATTAAAACTAAGATGCAAGCATTCCAAGATTTGTGCAGGCAAGTTCACTGTGAAAAAAAATGCTATTCCGTTTCTCAAGGTTTACATATGGACCAAAAAATACTAAGCATTAGTAATTTTACAAATATGAAATATCTTATCAAGCAACACGTAGCTTATGTGCAAGTTATATTTTTTCAGAAAAAGAGTCTGAAAATTGGCATCTAGAAGTCCAAGGGGGACTGTACTCCTAAATATTTATGGAAGCAATAGAAAGGCATGCACCAAAATGCCAAAAACCTACTAAAGTCAAAGCTGTTTAGAAAATGTGGTTTTCCTTAAGTAGATTTTTTAAGGGACAAATGCAGTATAACTGTATAATTTTGAATCTTTTTTTTCTATTATCTTTTGCTAAATCTCTATCTCATTTTTAATTTTCCTTATGAAAGTTTATAAAAGCAAGGTGCAAACATTTATACAATAGGCACTTGGGCTATAATACTTTTGGAATACTCCTGTTTATCGTTTACCCAACAGTAAATATTTCGCAAGCGGTGTTTGTACCAGTTATCAATACTTCACCACTTCAAAAAAAAAAAAAGCAAACTAAATTGTATACCTAAATTCTTTCATATATTAAAACAAAGCTGTCTAAATCACTTGGCCATGATTTTGGAGAACAATTTTTAAAAATATCAGCAAAGACACTCAAGGCACTATACTCACCGGTATGAATCTTCTCATGTCTCTGTAGAAGGTACTTCTGTATGAAACGCATCTCGCACTGATTGCACTGAAATGGTTTTTCACCTTAAACAATATAATTCCACATCTGTAAGTTAAAAGCTAGAAACATTCATTTCTAAATATGCTCTTGCGAAATAAAACAGTAAATTATTGGAAGCCAGCAACTAAGTGAGCCCGCAAATGTTTTAATTTAAAAAAAAAATCTACCTAAACCCTCTGGGATAAAATAGTGCTCCTGAGACACTACACAATATATATTTAAAACCTTCATTGGCCAAGTAAGAAACCAGAGTCTATTTTATAAACAAACAAAGAATTAGGAGATACGTTGCTTATAAATACATAGTATCTCTATATAAGAGCAACACAATATATCTTAAATTAACTGTAAGGACACTAATTCTTTCTGGTATTTTTTGACACCTTGGTGCATGAAATACCTAAGCTTAGATGCCAGATGTCCTGCACTTTGGAATCTAAAATATACATTACTTTACATTCATTATTCAGTCAATTGTTCCAGATTGATAATAAAAGAAACAATTTAAATTCAAGCAGTACCTGTATGAATGAAGACATGTCTTTGTAAATGGTAGTTGGTTCTAAAGGCAGCATTACAATGCTCGCAAATGTGAGATTTGGTAGTTTTCAGACCAAGTGATCCATCCTCATTTATTGTAAGGATCTATTTTTAAAAAGGAAAAATTCAGTCTCGCATTAATTTCTGAATAATTATATTCAATGCAAATTCATATTCAGTAGGGGGAAATTAAGCACTTTAGTATCAAGCCACAATGCAAAATAGGGAGTTTATAAAAGTGGATGAACTGCAATTGTTTCCTTCAGTGACATAGCAGTGTTGTTATCTTTTCAGTGTTTGCAATATAGGTGAAGTTGTAGGTGCTCCATTGTTGGAGGTTTTCAAGAAAAAAATTGGACAACCATTGTCTGGGGTGTAAATAAGGACCCTTGCCTTAGGCAGGGGGTTCAACTAGAAGATCTCCAAGGTAAGATAAGATAAGATAAAATAAGATAACCTTTATTGTCATTTTTTTACTGTGGGCACAACGACACACATAAAAAATGAAATTTAGTTGCCCGTTCTCAAAGTGAAACACATACATGACACATACCTAAACATACTATGAACAACATATGTATAGATCCACACCCCTACATATACGTAGCAAATAAATATTAAATACTGTTCATCTTGAATATATAACGGAAGGAGGAAGCTTGAGAGTTCACAAGGTTAATGCTGTATGGAATGAAACTATGGCTGAATCTGGATGTTCTGCTATGGATAAGGTCCCTTCCAACCCTATGATTCTATGTAAATAATGAAGTAGAACAGCTAGAAACATGTTGATACTATTGCTGCCGTAACATTTTTTTCTCTTAATACTGGCATCCTGCAACAAGTTTAAATGATCTTTCTGGGACACCTAAGAAAAAAAAACAAGCAGCAAAATAAGCTTCAAAGAGAGCGGGTGGATGAGTGTTTGCTTGCAACTTAAAAACTTTTTGCTTACAAATACCTACCAACTGCAAAGTTGCTGTTTTTGTTTTACTTTGTTTTTGGGATAGCCATGGTGATGTCATCGGGCGTAATTTGGTCGTTTTGCTTGCAGATTTTTAGTGAAATTTTAAGGTTTCTCTCAAAGGAACACCATTTTTAGTCTTAATTACATGTTCATGAATAAGCGGTATGCTGATTCACCTTGCCCGACAGTCTCAGTCAGGCTTCTCTGTCCGGCAAAAGCAGCTAGACGAACCAGCCCAGCCCATGCTATCTTTAACCTTCTGTGTGAACTATGAATTTTGTCTTTAGTATAATTGCTAAATAATGATACTAAACAAGGCACATGCTGAAATTTCACTAGAACCGCTGCTTTGAACACACAAATCTAAACCTGGGGACTCTTAATCCCTAACCACATATATGAAACACAGCAGAAGGCATATTAACTGTCATGCTCTAATTGGGTTAAATTATAATTTTCAAATCCATTGTTTAAAAAGACCTCTTAAGTAGCACTCAGATGCCACTTTTTGCAGGCAATTTTGAAATCTAGTTTATATAATACCAAGAAAGTCTGAAGGGCAATATAGGCAACGAAGAAGGAGAACCTGTTTTTTTTCAGTATTTTCAGATGATGAATGAAACAACTATGTGAAATGTTTAACTGGTTTTGCATACAGTTAATGAAAAGTTAAGAAAGTGAATTAACAAGAGAAAATATTTTCAACAGTGATTATTTTCAACAGAGACAACATTTGACATTCTCAAGCAAGCTTAAATCTCACAGTATGAAACTTGCCACTTAGGACATACTGCTGAGCGGAAATTAATGAGAACAAATAATTGGAGTTCACATTTGCAAATGGCCACGGTGAAACAGGGAGTCTGAATTAAAAAATACGTGTTTCATTCCCAAGGTCTTACATATTTTTGATTTGAGTTAATGGAAGGAAACTCAAGATGTAAAACCTTAAATAATAAGTTTCAGATCAAAAAAATGTGTTTTGAATTATTACATCTATCCTTATCACCTATTCACTGTAAGGTAATTATTTCATTTCAGATACACACAATGATTACTTTCAGCACTAAGGCATTGTATGGATAAAAATAAAGTTCATAAAATCCAGTGTTATTTAATTTGTCTCACTACTAAGCCCTTATTAAAGCTGTGTTATTCATCTCAGTATTCATTGGTAAATGGTCTTTGTAGAGCATTATTATAAAAAAAAAAATATTTAGAGAACGGCTTTCCTGAGATGTGAAAGTACACCAAAGGCTTATGCCAGTGATGGCAAGCCTTTTAAAGACCGAGTGCCCAAAACCCGCCCCCCTGCGCCTGCTCCGCCTCCCACCCTACCTACTCTGCCCCCACCCACCCCCAGTCCCGCCCGCCCGCAGGGCCACCCACCGCCTCCATGGCCCGCAGGGCCACCCACTGCCTCCATGGCCCGCAGGGCCACCCACCGCCTCCATGGCCCGCCGCAGATTGCGGCACTCCATGGCCCGCCGCAGATCGCCCAGGCGGCCCTGCAGCGCCCTGGCAGCCACCCACACCCTGCAACATCATCTGCGCGCGACGGGGCGCAAGGGCGGAGTCTTATCCCTGCTGCCTGACTGCCATGTCCTTGGCTGCGCTGCTCTGTGCAGGCTGCGCCTGGGGGCGACTCTCCTCCAGGGGGGTTGCTGGTGAGGAGGGGGCCACGGGGGGAAGCGGGGCTGAGGTGACAGCACGTGTGCCCACATGCGTGCCATAGGTTCGCCACCATTGGCTTATGCTATGAAAAGAAGTTCAAAGAAACATGCCATGAATATCTTTCAGACCTTCTTTGCTTTAGAACTGTTGCTAGGTGAATCTAATTATTGGCAGATATTATTTCCAATGGAATGGATGGATTCCATGGTGAATCACCATGCCCTTTAATTACCAGGTTTTTAATTAATTGTCTTACCTTTGCTGGGGAACGCTGCTTTCTTTTCTTCTTCTTTTGCATATCTATACCTTCTCGCATTAGCTTTTTGTCCCGTTTCTGCTGCTCAGTCACATCAGTAAATGTAATTTCTTGTTTCACACTGATCTGCTAAAATAGCAATTGCAGCATGTTTTCAGAAATAATGGCAATTCACTTGAAAGGGCTCAGTACCTTTTTATTATGTTGGATTTTTTTTGGGGGGGGGAGAATAACTTTGTTTATTTAATGTTCTACTGACATTGCCCTGTTGTGTTATACTTCAAATACAGTTATACTTGAATTGACATTGCCCTGTTGTGTTATACTTCAAATACAGTTATACTTGAATTATGTGCCATACATACAAATAAAACCTTGATTTATTGGAACAATTAGAGGCCGTGTCTATTATTGCCAACTGCATTAAATCAGATAGGATGTCATCAGTAGTGGTATAACTACACAAATTATGCAGATTTCAGTAATGATATCATTAAATGATGTAAGATGACACAAATACAATGAAAATTTTGTCCACTGCATCTGATGTCCATTGCATTAAAGTCTGTTAAACTGAGCATTTGCTGAAAACATGTTTACTTAAACATTTAAAACAGATAAACCATTTTTAATTTCTTATTCATGACAATACAAAAAAGTAAATTCTCCCTCAAATTAAGCTCAATTTCTGATGCCTACATGGACATGAATACATGGACGCATCTGTCCTGTTTTCTTGGCAACGATATTGAAGTCATTAACACAGACCTCTTCCCACATGTTTATTACTTCTTGGTATTGTGAAGCCTGGATGGTCTGTCTCCTTTTCAAATATTAACCAAGTTCTTGTTTAGCTTTACAAGTTGAGATTAAATCAACTAGGACCTGAGATCTGCTGTCTTAGTCACAATATGCAGGAATGCCAATTCTGCAGTGGAAACCTGAGCCTAGAAATTGGTCCATTGCTCAAAAGGGCAGTAACTGGTACCTCGGTCATAATGTTTTTAATCTAAATTTTTGATTGCTACTGCTATAGAGTTGCTATATAAATCTCAAAAGAATGTGAAGTTCCAGAATTTTCCTATAGAATAGCAATTACTGTAATTTTTTAATGTTTTCTTAAAAAGTCAACTTACATTCAAAGCAAGTGTTAAAATCAAAACAGGTTATTTCCCACAGAGAAGTTCAGTTTGGCATTCAGATTTAGACACATGGCTTTGTTCTACATAAGTGTTTATAATAAAATCCTCATGTTGTATGTCCTATATCTCATTTCCCTTCTCAAGATTTTTAACAAAACCTTCAATTGTAAGATCACAAGGCAAAATTTTACAACATACATAATGAATTAAAACATACACATAGACCTTGCTTAGCAGCTGCCTTGGGTAGTGACTATCTGAAGCTATGATGATGATAAAAAAGTAATTTTGTAACCAATACCCACATTTACAAACTTTGCAATGTCTTTCCCTCTCACTCATGTGTTTGTCAATACAGTCAGTTAGTATATGCCACCCTATGCCTGATCCATTTTTTCTCTCCTCCCTTCCAGCAGACGGGAGAGATTGCCTACGCAAGCTAGTTGTTCCTGAACCCACTTTTTCCATAGTGTAACTCCTCCCTAAAAAGTGCTAAGGCAAGTTAACAAACTCAGATCTGTGACCTTAATTAGCAGGCTTAATAGCTGCTGCCTGTAACTGACAAGACTTTAATCCCTTTCACAATTTTGACTTTTGTTTGCCTCCTAAGTAGTTCATGCTGAGAGCAGCCAGCATACTGGGCAAATAGCTGGCACAAGCATATTGCTTTCAATATGTCTTTCCCATTGTGTGTCTCCATATTTTCCTATAATTTCTCCTTTTCCAGTGAATATATAAACACTACTTCCCTTCTTGCTGTTTATCCCAGCCTCAGAGTGAGTATTCCAAAGGGAGGGGGAGAGGGGAAAGTTCCCCCCTGTTTGGCTGAGCTGGCTGTTTGGGGTTGTAGCCTTCTGACACAGTAAAGAAAAAGAAAGAAAGCTAAAGTAAAAACATAAGCACAATCACACTCATTTAATTTTCTACTTAGCGACCACTTTGCTTAATGACCTTGTTGTTGGTTCTAATTGTGGTCACTAAATGAGGGCCACCTGTACTTGCTAATTCTCAAGTTCAGAAATTCTTCAATTATAATGAACAAGTCTGAATTTTTGTTTCATCTTTTCAGAATCAAGATCCCCAAGTCTTGAGTTACCAGGGTTTGTCTACACACATATAATTTTTATATGGTGAATGTAAATTCATACCTAAGTTCCATAAACTTTAGATCTGACATGCATCAAGGGGTGAATTTTACTGTGTAAAATCATCTCATAACCCTATAATCTTCTTTGAAGTTTATCTTCAGTAGACTTTTCTTTTTGGTAAAAAGCAGATATAAAAATAACTCACAATCATGAAGAACTGTCCCCTGATAAAGTTTTTGTAAATCTTCCATTGCTTTTTTATTATAAAACATAATTTCATCAACATTAGTAAAATAGTTTGGCTCCAAGAATGCAATAGTGCTTGTAAAATGTTCATAACAGCTATCTTAGCTACTGTCTTTCATTCAGGATCAAAGCCATCTTGTATATATACAAAAAGTACAGTGCCCCAGTACTGTACAGGATTTTCAGGCAGCTCTCATCACATCATGCACTTCCACTGCCTTGTTCCCCACTACATTCCTAATCCCTCACTTTAATTACCATGTTTGTTGGCTCTTTTGCCTTCTTCCAGTCCTTATCAGTGCCTTCCTGCCCACTCTCCTCCAATCCCATTCATCTATTCATCTGCTTAATGGCTGAAACTTTCTAAGTATTCCAAAATGAAAAAGAAAATAAACCTGCAAGTCTGGAGAAGGAGAGTGTCTGGAGTATTAATAGAAGAAAATTCTTTTCCAATGTCATAATCTCATCAGCAATTTTAAGAACCACTACTCTTTAAAACAGGGATCCCCAACCTATGGTCTGCAGCCCGCTACCGGACCATGGCCTCTTGGCCACCGGGCGCTGGAAATAACTGGCGAGCCCCTCCCATTCCCGGTAGCACCGCCACGCAGGTGCTAGCGGCCCCATTTGCGCATGTTCAGGGATGCTAGCACCACCGTTGATGTCACGTGGGTGCCAGCAGCCCATTTGCGCATGCATGGGGGCACAAGTGGCCCATTTGCGCACGTAGGTGGGTGCCGGCGGCCCATTTGCGCATACATTTGGGTTCCAGCGGCCCGTTCACGCATGCATACGGGTGCCAGTGCGCGTGCCATGGGTGCGCATGGCCCACTTGTGTGTGCATGCACAAACTAGCGCTTCCATCATATGCACGCCCATTTACGCATGCATGCGTGGGGCTGCACGCATGCACATTTCCCTACTCCTCCCTTTCCTTCCGGGCTGCCAAGCCGGAAAGTTTGGGGATCTCTGCTTTAGACCATAGAGAAGAGGCTAGAAAGGCCTTTAATGACAAATACATAGTAGCAAAGATGCACACACCTAGAAAAACTGGATGAAGTTATCTTAGAACAACCTTTAAAAAATATATTTCTTCCCACTATTGACTTCAAACCAAATCCGTCATTGATTAATGAAATAGCCATAAACCACTGCCTTTTTTTTCATGTTTACCCTTTGCTTACTGTTTGAAGCAAAACTCTACATAATAACTGCAGGCAAAATTAGTGAAAAGAAAATACTTACAGGAACATTGACTGCATAATGAAGCCCTTGGGGGAGTCTGTCTTGTCCCTCTATGTCATCATCATTTTTCACCGTCTCTTCATGAACCATAAGTTCATCATGCGGGATCATTTCTTGCGGTCGGAGTTCACTTTCTTGTAAAACGTCATCTGCAGAAAGGATTTCTTGACGTGCCATAGCCCGGTCTTGAAGCACTGCTCCTTGCCGTTCCACAGAAATTGCCGAGTGGTCAGAGGTGGCACCCATTCCAACCATATCCCTCGATGACTGCATCTGTTCTATGCTACCACATTTAAGAAACAATCCTCCTAGCTTATCTTCAATGTTCATTCTTAAGTGCAGTAACCTATAAGAATGGAATTAATAAACTGAGTTGAAAACTAGATATGAGATACAAACATAAGACTTGCTGACAAGCACTGCTGAAAGGAATATTTCCTGACTAAGTACAGTATAGGGAACACAATATACTTTACTGATGAGACAAAATCTAACTACAGGAGATTTGTCAATCCCCTCCCAGAAAATGAAGTACATCCCCCCCCCAACAAATAAAATACTTCAGGTAACCCTTAAATCTCAAACCTAGCATATACAGAATGAAAACCATATATATTATTAGAAAAATACAGAACAGGATGTATTTGCCCCAGATATTTAGCATTAAGGCACTGAGTTTCTTGCAGAATGTCAGAGTGCATTCCTATATCACTGGGAGTCATAGGACATTCAGAAGATTTCCTCTTCCAAGAATGGGGTGAGGATCTGACTTCCGAGGCGGGGGAGGGGGGACAAAACCTAGCATTGATTCCCCTCTCCCAGACTGTCTTAAAAGCTTCCGCAGATTTTTTTTTTTTTAACTGAAGCTCCAACATCAGAAAAGAGGAAAACGAGGGACATTGGAGACCATGCTTGACTGAGGAAAACTTTAGATCAATGGAATCCAAAGGTCTCCTATTCATCAATCACCACTACCACCCCAACATAGAAATATTTATACCAACCCTAATCTTGGTCTGAATAATTCCTCTCCCATTACTTGCAAAGAGGGAAAACAGTAAGTAGTTGCCACCCTCATTTTGGCTCTGTACTACGAGTGCAGCAGGGCTTTGAATATGAAAGGCTACAATATCAAATCAGAGGCATAAAGGCAATGGTGGGATTCAGCCAGTTCGCACCAGTTCAGCAGAACCGGTAGCTAATGTTTTGTTGCCCAGGCCCAGATGGACTTCCGGAAGCGGCATCCACACAGAGAA